TTCTTTATATATTCTAAATAGTAGTTCTTTGTCTGAGGTACAGCTGCTAAAATTTTTTTCCAATATTGTAGGTTGTTAGCTCTCTTGGTAATTTCTTTTGGGCTGAGGATTTAGCTCAGTGGTTTCTTTGTCTGCTGCCCAAGCACAAGGACCTGAATTTGATCCCCAGCAACAAAAACAACAACAACAACAACAACAAAAATCCTTCCTTTATCATAATTATTTCCATGTACTAGTTGCACACAATTATAGTTTTCATTGTGACTCTTTCTTGATGCATGTTATTGCATGTCACATCCATCCTCCATATTCCCCCTGCTTAGACTTCATATTGGCACCTTTGCCTTCCCTAATAGTCCCTCTTCTATCATGTTATCTCCCCCACCTTGATTCTATGTATGACAAGAAATGTCATGTTTGGCTTTCAGTGTCTGTCTTGATTTTCTTAGAATAATGATCTTCAAGTCCATGAATTTTCCTGAAAATGACATGAGTTTGCTTTCCTTTATTATTGAATAATATTTCATTGTATATGTATATATATATATATGTATATATATATATATATATATATCTTTATCCTTCATCCAGTGATGTGCTTCTATGTTGATTTCATAACTTTGCTACTGTGACTAACAGCACAATAAATATTGGTATTTAAGTATTTGTATTGTATTCTGACTTTAATCACTTTGGATAATTTAACATGGAATGATATACTACATCTTATGTATCCTCTGTTTTTAGTCTTATGTTTTTAAAGGAATCTCCATACTGATTTCATAGTGGCTGTGTAGTTTACATTCCCACCAGCAATGTGTAAGGGTTAAAATAAATCAACCTCAAGTAAATGTAAATGAATTGAAATTATACCCTGCATATTATCAGACCATAGCAGAGTGAAGTTAGAAATAAACAACAAAAGAAAATACAAAAATTATGCAAATGTAAGGAAACTAAACAATATACTCTGAACTAAACAATGAGTCACAAGAGAAATTAAAGAAGAAAAAGATATTTCCCAGAACTAAATGATAATGCATGTATAACAGTCCAGAACTTATGAGACACAACAAAAGCAGTCCCAAGCGGGAAGTTTATAGCTGTGAATGTCTGCATCACAAAAACGGAGTGAGCCCCCCAAAATAAACTAATTATGCACCTCAAGATTCTAGAAAAGCAAGAACAATCCAAACCTAATGCTAATACAAGGAATGAAATTATAAAGACCAGAAAGAGATCAGTGAAATTGGGCTGAAAAAAAAAAAGAATTAATGCATTAAAGAACTGGTTCTTCAAAAACAAAAGCAACAATAGACAAACCCTTAGGCAATCTAACTAAAAAAAGAGAAAAGACCGAAATTAATACAATCATAAATGAAATGGGTGAAATCACAATGGACACTGCAAAACAACAACAAAAACAACAACAAAAAAACATTATCAACATCTACTTCACAAACGTATACACCAACAAACTGGAGAATTCAGAAGTAATGGATAGTTACCAAGATACATACAAATTTCCAAAATTAAACCAATAAGTTTTAGAAACCCTGAATAACCCAGTAAAATTAAAGCAATAAAATTAAACAAAATTTAAAAATAAAATTAGAGCAGTAATAAATCGTCCACCAAGAAAATACCACATCCAGATAGGTTTACTACTGAATTGACAAAAACTTCAGGGAAGTTCTAACACCAATATTCCTCAAGATTTTTAATGAAATTGTAAGGTAAGTGTACCACAAAGTCATTCCTGGGAGGTATCATTACCCTGATTCCAAAACCAGACAGGGATTCAACTAAAAAGAGAACTATATTCCCATATCATTAGTGAGTAGAATTGCAAAAATCCTCAACAAGATACTGGGAAACTAAATGCAATGAATCATCAAGAAGAGTAGGCTTCATCCCAGAGATACAAGGATGGTTCAACATATACATGTTGACCAATAAATGTGATTCACCTCATAAACAGAGACAAGGATAAAAATCACATGATCATTTCAATACACACATTAAAAAGCCTTTAATGAAATACAGCTTTTTATGATTAAAAATATTGAAGAAAATAGCTAAGGTGATAGTTAACTGAGTGTGTCCACTTGAGTAAGAAACACCCAACTACATTGTCTCAGCATACTTCTGGGTGTGGAAGACTCACCCGAGGAAGGATTATCACCAGATAAAAGGGAAATAGCCTCTAGTCTTTGCCTTTACCTTGGATGACATCTCCCGGCTTCCAGTGCAGCCTTTTCAGCCTCCAGCACAGACACTTTTCTTCCCTGATATGGATTCCCATGGGACATTCCAATGAGCTCCAGCCTTTGAAGGGATCCTTCAAGTCTCCAGCATGCAGAAGGCCCTTTAGTGCTCTTCCACACCCAACTCTGTGAGCAGCCATTGTAAGCCAAGCTTGTAAATTCTTATATACCTTTATATCTTGCACAAAATCCATTTCCCTAGTAAGCAGTACTTCGTACAAGTATAAAAGGACATTATCTCAACCTGATCAAAGCTATTGATGACAAATATACTGCCAAAATCATATTAAATAGGAATATTGTTACTAGTATATGTATACTGGTACAACCACTATGGAAATCACTGCAGAAAATTCATTTGGCCAAGGTATTCCACTGCTAGATATCTTCTTAAAAGAATTATATTCATTATTCTACAGTAATACAGAAATATCCATGTTTATAGGAGCACAATTCATGATAGCTAAATATTGGAAGCAGCCTATATGTCCACTGACAGATGAATGGATTTAGAAAGTATAATATTTGTACACAATGTAGTACTGCTCTGCTATAAAGAAAGAAACTGGCTCATTTGTAAGAAAATGGATGTACCTTAAGTGCATAATGTCAATTTAAATAAATCAGACACACAAGTTCAAATATCACATTGTTTCTCTTATATGAGATATCCAGAGTAAAAATAGAGATAATATGGAAGTAGAGAGATAGATCTTTCCAAGAGGGGACATGGATTAGAAATGGAGGGAGAAGAGAGGTAGGGGAGTCACAGGGGATGCAAAGCAGAATTGCGGTGAATTATAAACGTGTAACAACTCCAAACAAGGAAAGTAAACATTATGTACTGCAAACATGCACAAATAGGCAAGAGGATCAAGATTTGGGAGTTGAGAAGGGGAAAAGACAAAAAATAATAAATGTCCTAATCCAAGCACTTGAGAGTTATTTCCACTCCTATATCTTCTTCAACTTCTTTCTTCAGTGATTTATAATTGTCACTAGAGAGACATTTAACATCATTTGGTAAATTTATTCTTAATATTTTAGTGTATGTGTGCCCACGTGTGTGTGCATGTATGTGTGTGTCTATTGTGAGTGAAATTTTTGACTATTTTCTTTCTCAGTAATTTTGTAATTAATATATCAGAAACTGATACATTTTGTATATCGACACTGTTTCCTATTACTCTGCCAAATTTATACATCTAAAAGACATTCAGTGGACTCCACAGTTTTTAACTATAGAATCATGTTATCTGCAATCTGGGATAATTTGACCTTGTCATTTCCTGCTTGTGTCCCTTTTACTTCCCTCTCTCATATAATTGCTCAGGCTAAAGTTTCCAGTATTACACTAAATAAGAGTAATGAGAGTGGAGCTCTCCAGAA